AAGGCTATATCTCTAGTATATTTTCTTCTTCATTATTTATATGGGAATAGGCTGAAGCTCCTGACTCCTGCCTCGGTGCTTATGGGGTCTCCGCCCCCACATCCTAGGACCTGGGGACACAGCGATGACCAAGACAGAGATCCCTGACCTCGTGAGGCAGGTGTTCTAGTGCAGATGTTGACAAGCCGCAGCCCTGGGGCCAAATCTGGCCCTCCACCTGCTTTGGCACAGCCTACAATCTAAGAATAGTCTTGACATGTTTAAATGGTTAGAAAAAAAGAAATCAAAAGAGGACTATTTTGCGAGGCGTGAAAATCATGTAAAATTCAAATTCTGATGTCTATAAATAACGTCTTCATGGAAGCGGCTCCCTGGTCCGTGTATCACCTGCGGTTGTTCTTGTGTCACAACAGGAGCTTTGAGTAGCTGTGGCAGCGTGTGGCCCAGGAAACCTAAAATATTTATTATCTGGCCTTTTACCATAAAACTATGCTGACCTATTCTAGAGTGGGGGATGGACGACAAACTAGCAATAAATAAAAGATCATTTCACATGGAGAAACTGGGTCAGATCTGTGCTACCCAGCTTTACGTAGCACAGAGTGGCTGAGCCCCAGTGGCTGATCTGAAGACGGTGGCCAGGGGGGCCTCTCTGCAGAGGTGACGTGGGAGCCGAGGCCTGCATGATGGAAGGAGCCAGCCATGTGGCCATGTGCGAGTCTGGGAAAGAGCGTTCCAGGCCAGGGGAATAGCAGGTGCAAAGGCCCAGCGGTGTGAAGGCATCTGGCGTGGTCCAGGGACAGCAGAGGCCAGTGTGGCTGACCCTCAATGTGGAGCAAGCTAGACAAAGCCAGTGTAGGAGGAGGCAGGGTGAGCAGGGAGAGGCAGCCATGGGGGCCTCTTAGGAGGAGGCCTGGAGGTCAACTTTCATCCCAGAGGCAAGGGAGACCTAGGGATGCTTTTAATCAGGAATCTGAGGAGATCAGACCTATGCTTTTTAATTTTTTTGAAACAAAGTCTTGCTTTGTCACCCAGGCTACAGTGCAGTGGCACAGGACCCATCGGCCCAGAACAGGGTGCAAAGGCCTGGCCAATCTGCAGGGGAAATGCCTCAGGTATGAACAGAGCCACAGGCTGTGAACCAGGACCTGACGCGGTGGCTCACATCCATACTCCCAGCACTTTGGGAGGCCGAGGCAGGTGGATCACCTGAGGTCAGGTGTTCAAGATCAGTCTGGCCAACATGGTGAAACCCCATCTCTACTAAAAATACAACAATTAGGGCCGGGCGCGGTGGCTCAAGCCTGTAATCCCAGCACTTTGGGAGGCTGAGGCAGGTGGATCACGAGGTCAAGAGATCGAGACCATCCTGGTCAACATGGTGAAACCCCGTCTCTACTAAAAATACAAAAAAATTAGCTGGGCATGGTGGCGTGTGCCTGTAATCCCAGCTACTCAGGAGGCTGAGGCAGGAGAATTGCCTGAACCCAGGAGGTGGAGGTTGCGGTGAGCCGAGATCGCGCCATTGCACTCCAGCCTGGGTAACAAGGGCGAAACTCCGTCTCAAAAAAAAAA